GCGAGCTTCTCTCCCAGGACACTGGCAGCCGAGAGGGAATTCAGGAGGGAAACCAGCCACCCCTTCCCTGGTGGGATGGAAAATGCAATGCTATGGGTCACCCCCCTCCCCACAGCAAGTTTTTGGGATGCAGGGAATTGCTGCAGGGACTGGGCAGAAATTAAGTGACTGACAGAGGTGGTAAGGAGCATTTTTTGCTTGGAAAGTGGACATCCATGTGGAAGACTGGTGGCCACAGTGGTTTATGGATGTTGGGGTGGTCTCCACTCCAAGCAGGACTCATTCTGTATCAGTCCTGGACCTGTTTCTCTTCCCTCCCCATCCCAAACCCAGGAGCCTAAGGCTGTATCTGTGCACACTGAGGAGCCTTGTGGTTTGTGGCCTGCTTTCTCCAGACTGGGATGGGCTGGGAACTAGCAGGAAAATCAAATCAGGGCTGCACAGGAAGGGATAAAATGGCCTCACACCACATTTGGGCTCCTGCTCGGGGGTGTCGGGTTGGGCCAGGACAAGGGTGTCTCCTTGCCAGGAGGTGACTAGGGTGTGAGCCCTCTGCCCCCGGTGTCCGGTGGCCCTGGCCAGCCCTTGGCCCCTGTGGCTGTGCAGGTCACAGTGCCAGGCATCAGGAGCAGGGATGAGGTCACCTTCCCGGATAGCACTGGGATTTGGGCTGGCCGGGAGCTGTGGTGTGTGTCATGCCTTGGGCCATTTCCTTTGCATCCTTTGAGCAGGTGGTGGCTCCTCTCCATCCTCACTGCACCAGCCACGTCTGCTTGTCCCAGTGCCACTGGGCAGGGGTAGACCCTGATGACAAGCAGTCACATGACAGTTCCATGCCTCAGTTTCCCTGTTTGTAAAACAGAGAGATTACTTCCTCCCCTCCCCCCCTCCTCTTTCTGACCAGCATTGGGACATGCCCTGTCTCTTCCCAAGAGCAGGAACAGGACCAAATGCTTGTGCTGCCCTTAGCACAAGGGATCTGGATCCTGCTATGAAATTAGCCAGGAGATGATTTTTTTCCCTGCGTTTTCAAAGCAGAAGTAGAGGCAGAGAAGGGGATGAGGAATCTTGGCCAAGTTTCACTCTACAAATCAGTGGCAGACCCTAGGTAGACCCTCAACACCACCAACTCACCAAATCCCCTTTTGACCCCAACAATCCCTTTCGGCTCACAAATAACCCCCTTCCCCTTCATCTCTTTTTTCCCTCTTCCCACCCTGACTCCGAACCCTGCCGCACCCCATGTGGAGCCATGCAGGGAGGACAGGATCAGGCCCTCCCTCCTGCCTCTCCAGAGGAGGGAATGAGACAAGCTGCTGAGTGGTTTCCTGCCCAGCACTGCCAATGGGAGCTGCTTGGGGTGCCGGGAGCAGGGGAGGATGTATCC